GCCCGAATCGACTTGAATAATTTTCTTATCATTCAAAATGTGAATCTGTTGTGGTCGTTTAGGATCATGTTGTAACGATAGCCATTTGCATATTTTATTACCGTAAACATAGTTAGCATCGTTGGTCATAAATAGAAAACCAACTTCATTAGCGAATGTGGATATTTTATAAATCGATTCAATACTTTGAATAAATTCTTGATCAATATCTTTTATATCACGTTGAAATAATTCAATATCCACGTAATTATCAGTTGGTGATTTTTCCATAATTATCGAAAATTAAAATTTTATTTTCAGCAAAAAAAAATCAAACGAAATCACAAAATCTAATTCACACACACTGCTGCCAAAAGCAAAAAAAAAAGATTATCAAATGACAAACTGACTAATGAAAATAAATGGTCATTTGATAGATTTTTCAACTTGTTGCTCGACCGAAATACAAACAAACAAAACACACCTTATAAAAATCTGACTATACTTTTGCGCAGATTTTTCTGCGCATGGTGTGATACACTTTCATTTGATAATCTTCTTCAAGTATTGACGAATAATATTGGATTTTATTGATTTTTAAAAATGTATATTTTATTTTTTTGTATTCCATAAATGTTTTGTTTTTTTAAAAAAATATCCAAAATTGAATTGAAACAATCGATTATGATTGTTTTTCACGAATCAATCGATCGATTACTGTTATTCAAATGTTCAATCAATTCATCGATTTGTTTTTGCGATAATGTTTTTTGCATAATTTATGATAATTTATTTAAATTAATTTTTTTTAAATATTTGTCCAACGGAGACCATACGAGATTTTCAAAGTATTTTTCAAAAAAATAAACAAATTTCGCATTTTTGAAACATTGTAATATCCATGTCGATAAACACGACGACGACGATGTTTTTAAATCTAAATATATACACTGTTTTTAAAAGAGAAAATTATTATTGCTCAAATAAATAAAATTTAAGAAATTTCATAACATTTTTGTTGTCTGCTTTAAGATTGTCAGCTATTTTAGGCCACACATTCTTGATTGTTAGTTTTACAAGTTTGTAATGTATGTCATCAAGTTGATATTTATCAATCAAGGGAAAATAAGTAGATAATGTTCGTTCATTCAGATCTTTTCCTATGAATGTTCAACAATGTTTCATTAATTGTTCATCACCATAACAATTGGCCAAATCAATAAGTTGGTCTATATTGGATTGTTTGATTAGGATTTGGCCCGTATGTAACATCCGTAGATATGCATAATAGACATCATAATGATAATCTTTGATGACCACTTTGCTATTTTCCTTCCAAACACCTGAAAACATTCGACTATAATAATGGGATGACATTTTCAGGTGACACTTTGAAGCCAATATACGTTTATTGCCGATAACAAACTCGACATCATAATTATCCGGATTATTCAATAATCCAATTAATGATATCGGAATATTGAATAATTTAGATGATTCAATAAATGATTTCGGATTCACAGTTGATGTTAAGCCAAAAGTGTTTGGTGATTTCCTTACCATTGCTGATGCTTCGGCAAATGATTTCGGTTGACCATCCAATTTTTTGGGTGATAACGATAATCTATTATTCAGCCAACCCCATGCATAATAATGTGATGACTGATCCAATGCCAATGAAAAATTGAGATGATTCTTACTAGCCACACTTTGCACATTTTCAATTGATATTTTTATGGGCACCTTTGCATTTCGCTTGAATAATTTAATTTGAATAATTCAGAAATTGAAATTGGAATCATTGATGACGATGGCCACGAATACGCGTTCGGTTAGCCACACGAATGCTGTTCAATCGATTAAGTAACAGTTATTAACCGATCAATTTCTTCAATTTGTTGAGCGGTTAATGTACCGCTGAATTGTCTTGTTGAAAATCGTATTCCCATCATAAATTGCTGACACGACAATTGTTAGCGAGGAATTGTATATAATTCATCAATTCCTGTTTTTGTGATTGGGTGAGTGAATCATCCATTTGATCAATCTTATATTGAACTTGCGACAAAAAGTCATGTACGCAAGTAAAATAGTTCGGATTTCGCACAAAACGAACTATTAACAATAATATTTCGCGAAAATTTTCGCTAAAAGATAAAATGTTGAATGTAAAATTGAAAAGAAATTTTATCTTTTTTTTAATGAAAAAATAGTGAAAAATTTAATAAAAAAATTAAAATAAAATTATTTAATGGCCACGGATCATATTATAATACTGATTAACTAAATAATCAATATAATTGTTCAGGATATCCAATTCAATTTGGGTTAATGAATCCATTTGGTTCGTTATATAACGAATTCGACCCAAGAATTCGTGCTGACATTGGAATATCCGCGGATTTCTTACAAACAGCACTGTAAGATACAATAAGTTGCGGATATTTTCCGCAAATGTTGATGCATATGGTATTGGTTCTATAGAACAACAATTCTGTAGCAACAATTGTATGTAAGCGTTAAGACTTTCGATTTCTTCGAAAGTCATTGCACGATGCAGTCCACGTGCTATATTTCGAATTACAGTCATTACACCTGTTTCACCACCATAATAATCAGGATTGATCATATATTGAAAAATGGCGAAAATTATTCCTCGAATCGATTCATTGAATAGCGGTGGGAAATGAATATTAGACATTATTCAAATTATTTGATTCAATAATAACTTTTGATTTTGTTTAGTAGTTGAATGATGTTTTGTTGTTGTTGTCGGTGAAAGATTTTCAATGAGATTCAATAATGACTGATTGATTAATGATGGCTGAATGCCGTGGAGAGTTTTGAATTATAATTTTTAAAAAGTCTGAATTATATAGATTTTCAAACGGTATTGTTGCTGTTTCAAATGGTAATTTTATTTCATTTTATTCCAATAAATTTTAAAAAAAAATTAAAAAAAATTAATAAATGTTCAAATTATTATACAAAACAAACACTAATATAATTTATGATTCATGATTGGAAAAGAATTGATTAAACATCCTACACGACCACCAAAAACGACGACAATAATTACAAAGATTATTTGGCTCTTTAAACAATGAATTTTCATTAAAAGCATGCATGTAAATGGTGTGCACAAACAGGATATGCATTCACAAACATCGTACTCTACAAAAAGTTACAATTGATAAATTTAAAAAAAATTTTATAACCATCTGAGCATCCGCACTCGATCCCCGTCTTTGCACGATAGGGTACGACTTGAAATTTTATTGAAAATCATAGTGATTTCCCGACCGATCGCTGACAAATTAACACTGTCCATATTTGTTATCCTGACACCAGAAATAAATGGCAAACACACGACATAACACAGGAGAAAAGAACATTTTTTTTATTATTTTACAAATTTATATACAAAGAGCAATGTCAACCAACACCGATGACGCGAAACACACTGCATTATTTAAAAATAAGGTTTAAAACAATCATCATCATCATTAACAATAACGACGACCATGACGAGGATTACGAATTCGTCGTCTATTTCGACATATAGATCTATTGATAATGATTCAAAGTGATTGTTTAGATCTTCAATTTTGACCGTTGTTGTAATTCTTTCAAATTGATTTTAATTATACAAAAAAAAATTAGTTTTATAATTAGCAATTAGTTTTTATTAAAATTTGATTAAAAAATTTTTAAAAAAGTAAATATAAATAATGATCGAATTCCATAATGAAATCATCATCCGTTATATCATTTTCATCAAATAAATCAACAGTAAATGTAAATGTTTGATAAGTAATGATTTCATCAATATCATCATTATCAACAAAAACATATTGCCTGAATATTTCCGGATTTCGTTCACTTAGAAATACGAAATGAATGTTTAATCGTAATTTTATTTCGTACGAATTATCCATTCTTTTTTTGTTCGTTTAGGGGAAATTGATTCGATCGAATATTGAAATTAGTAGCGTAAATTCGCAAAGTAATTTCAACTGGAAAATTACAACAAAATTTATACATTTTCAAAACAATAGGTATTTTTTTCCAAATTTATTTTGATTATTGGCACTCATTAGATTAGAATATTGGCTTCGATCAAACGATTAGTAGAAAAGAATCTAATCAACCAATGGATCATGATGAGAACAATAATGATGAAAGTGAAAATATCAATGGAAAAAAACAAAACATAAAATTTAAAACATTTGAAAAAAATATGAATAATTTTTTTAAATAAAAATATTTATCAAGCCAATATATGAATTTCAATTTTCAAGATAGCTTATAAAATGCAAAATTAAAATAGGCTCATTTGGAGCCGTAATTTTTTCAAAATAAAAATTTTGAGATATATAACAACTAATTTCGTTGACAATCTTCATACTAAAATGAACCAGTTATGAATTTAGCTAAATCCACATTGTCACGACTTTTATTGACCTAATCAAAAATGTTTTTAACCGCCTGATTTTAGCTACATCTAAATTTGTCTCTGTCCGTGTAAGGAGAATAAAAAGTCTATGGAACGATCATACCATGGGACCTCATTCGCTTTTGCTAAGATTATTTTTTTAAAAAAATTCGTATTTGCTTTAATTATTTGTAAAAAAAAATTTTTATTTAAAATAATAAATAAAAATAACATTCGATACAAGTAATTTCATCGCTTGTATCGTCGTTGAAAAATTCCATATTGATTGTACATACATCGTATCGTACAATCACTTGATCATCATCTTCATCATCGTTAACATCAGTAGTTTCGGGAATTGAATATATTATATTTATAATAAAACGGTAATTTCCCGGCAACGACGATATTATTGATTCAATTGATTCCATTTTTGTAAAATTTTTTTTTTCTCGGTGATATTCAATATTTGTTGGAAAAAAATTTCCAAGGTATTGTAGTTCTAATAATTTTTTCTTTATACAAAAAAAATGTAATTTATATACATTTTTAACAGTATTTTTCTTTTTTTTTATTCGAATAATTAATTTAAAAAAAAATGAAAATGAAATTAATGAAAGTAATAATTTAGCCAATTATTAATAATTTTTTCAAAATAAATTATAATTAAAAATGTGTTATTCTGTTATCCTTATACAATTTATTTTTAAAGATTCATAATTGACAAGATCACTTATGCACCATTCGCTCATTCGAAATATTTCGAAAAGAAAATTTATAATAATAATAAGCTTTTATTTAAGCACACTGCTAAATCAGCATTTGTGCAAACAAATTTAAGAAATGAAAAACAAAAAACAAAATTAATTAACAGTTAATTTTTGAGAAAAATAGCAACTGCGAAATTGATTACAAGGAATTGGTCAGGAGAAGAAAATTGATGACGGTTTGTATTTTTAGGATAGTATTTTTCTTGAGTTAATTCAAAAATAGAAATTCAATTCAATGATTGTATTACGATTGATTCAATAATTTAAAAATCTGTAGTGTTCGAGCAATGATCGAAATACAATCAAAGTTATCCCTAATTTTCTTAAGTTTCCCACATTGCTACAGCGTAAATGATGAAGAGATACACACGTGAACACAATTTAAAAAAATATAATTTAAAATTTTATTTAAAAAAATTGAAATATCTTAATAAAGTAAACGACAATAATAGTCGTATACAATATAAGGGGTCAACGGATTGTTGTTGACCAGAAAATCGACTGTTATAGTCTTAATTTCGATGATTTCTCTATCACTATTATCATCGTTGCCATCAGTGTTATCTTGGTAGATAACACCATTTTCGGGTATTGAATCTACCCGAGATAAGATATGTATATTTAATCTAATATTAAAGTAATTTGCCATTTTTTTTGTGAAAATCTAGAAAAAAAATAATGATTCGATAAACAATTTTATAAATGAAAGTAGAGTAAAAGTAAAAGTAATTTCTCCAAAATGATTGGTATTATATACTATTTTTGAACAATAATAATTTTTTTTTATTCCAATGATAATTTAAATTAATTTTATAAATTATAAATTTATAAAAATTATGATGACAAAAATTCTCTCGATATACAATGTAGAAGATGTAGAAGAATGGTACACAACACTGTGAATATGGAATTAATATCAAATCTATAGTGCAGAAAAAAAATCTCATGATTATTTTTGATGTAAGATGACACTTGCGATTCCTGAATTCAGATCTAAAAATCATCATCATCATAGTAAGAAATCTGTCATGAAGAAATTTCAGTTATAAGCACTACGATCATCAGTGTCACACATTGATGATTGACCATTGTCTGTTTAATTATCATTAAATTCACCTTGAATCAAGCCATTCAAATCGAAAACAACTTTTTGAAGTATTCTGGGTTGCGTTTGTGAGTTCACGTGTAGGAAATAGGAAATATAGAATTGAAAATCTAGCCGTGACGCGCAAGCTCATTTTTAGATTTGATGAATATCGGAAACATAAAAAAACGAGTAATTTTTTTAAAATGAAAAATGATTTTTTTTTATGATTTTCAAAACTATTATAAATTAAAAAAATTTGTAATTTTTCATTATAATGATCACAGGCTCATTTGGAGCCGTAATTTTGGTGTGTTTGATTGTGTGGAATCGCAATCGAATCGAATCGAACCACAATCGCTTCAAGGTAATCATTACCATTTTGAATATCATAAATATTCATTTTGTGTAATGTATTATAATAGGTAATAATGTTAGGAAAATCCCCATACATATATTCCATGTTTTCCATTGGTATTCTGTTTTTGTTTTATGATTGTATTCAAATTAAAAAAATTTTATAATTTCAACACAAACAAGCCGAAACACGTGCTTTTCTGGTCAAGTGCGCGTTCATTTCAAATCATTCATGATCGACGCAAAAATCACTGTGTCACACAACAACGACCAGAACCAATTTACGAACATATTTCGCCATTATCAACAACTATCATCAAAATCAGAAAAATATAATGGTGATAGATTATTTGATTTTCTTCTATTTTAGCTTCACGAGTACCGATATTCAACCGTTTTGGGAAAACGACCCGGAAGGTTGGTCAAAACAAGTAAAAGCAACGTTTTTGGCAGCACACGTGTTTGATTAATTCTTAAAATATCGAAAAAAAAACATTTGAATTTTTTTTAATAAAATTTTATTAATAAAATATATTTAAAAAAAAATCAATAATCATTTTGATTGATATAAATCAAAATCAGGATTGGCTCATTTGGAGCCCTAATATGAACAAAAAACATTGTTTGTATATTGTACTCAATACAAACTTCACCATGATTGTTTACAATAATGTTTAGTGGATAAACATTATGATAATATGTGATAATGTTTGGATGATTAAAGTAATGATAATTATTTTCCATTTTTTATTTGCGGATTGATTCGATTGTTGTTTTTATATATAAAAAAAAATTACAAGAATTAGGGATCGAGTAAGAAATGAAAAAATGTTTTGGTAGCGTTAATGTAAAAATGTTTTGGTAGCGTTAATGAAAAAATGATGAAAAAATGATTTTTCAACGATTAAAATGTAACCAAAGATGTATCGTATATATACTAATTTCAAACAATATTGTTTGTAATTTTTTTACCAAATAGTAATTAATCAAATTTAAACGAAAACAATATTCTTTAATAAAATTTTTTTTATTAATTTTTTTTATTAATTTTTTTA